ATTTCTCCAAAGCATTCTAAACAGAAATCGCAACTTTGGAAGTCCTTTTTTTAATAAACGCTTTCCAATTTCCTTCCATGTGATTATTTTCGTCGTAATGCTGTGTACGAATTTCTTCCTGCGAGGATTTTTTATTGGTTTGTTCTATGACTTTATATGTCATATTTACCACATATGTAACATTGTGAATTTTTAAATGGACAGTGTTTTACAAGATATAATTTACCACATCTAAAACACGGATTTATTCTCCTTTTTGTACATTTGTCTTTTGTTTTTTCAGCATTGTGTTTCAGACATCGAATTGTATGGCAATTGTCCATTATTTCTTGCAATGTAATATTACTGTTTTGTACAATTTACGTTAAGGATTTCGCTCGTATTTTAGCATCTTTTTAGCTGTTAAACCTTGAACGAAAATTAACTTTTCGAACATATCTGGAACTATTTCTTTTACTTGTAGCGTTCTTTATTGATGATAATAGCATACGTGACAAAATCTTCGTCCTCTTTTTTTGTTAGTTTCATGCACCTCCAGTGTGTTTGCAAACCGAATTTCAACTTTTCTTTTTCGGTAATTTGTAATTGCAGTATTTTTTCCTACTCTGTCGGAGCTATTTTTCTCAACAACAATCTTGTTTTTCTCTCATCTTCCCAATCGCTTCATTCCTATCTGAATATTTGTTCATGTCTATGAAAATACGCAGAAAAAGTCAGTCACCTTTCAGGATTGTATATAAATTCTGATATGATATTTTGGACAGCGTCTGGCGTAAGGGACGTTGAAATATATATTTTTTTGTTTGTTTTCTTTAGAATTATATCCAATAACTCCTGTTGCTGTTTGTGCATTTCTAGCAAATGTTGATTTTGTTGTTGTTGCTGTTTCGGTTGTTTTTTTGGTTTTTTTTTGTTGTTTAATTTCAGTTATCGATGCCAATATTTGCTCTATATTCGCAAGAATATATTCTCCTTTCCTAGACCCAAGAGAATTTTTTCCTTCTACATATTGATATTTTTTTTTAAAACCATTGTGCTTCAAAATTCTTCTCGTCGTCTGCATCCTTGTTTCCGTAGCAACAAGAATATTTTTTCATGTACATGCTCACTAATTATGTGTTTCCAAAATCCTTGTATCTCCAGTAACAACTTGTATGAGTTCCTGAATCCTCGTTACTCTTATAAGTCGTAAGAGTTCCGTATCCTCGTCACAGCCGTTATAAATCGCATGAGTTTCGAATCCCTCGTCGCCACTGTTATAACGCAATTCATAGCTCTTATGATATAAGTAATGCAATTTGCCGTGACGCATGTATTAATTAGTCTGAAGACTGATTACAAATGGTTTATTCTTCTCCAGCATCTAACCTGGAACACTTCATTTATAGTTATGGACTATATATAGCCACTGGGGGTGTTCTATTAACTCCACAACAATTATCCTTCCAAAGCCTTATTGATCCATCCATTAACTTAATCTACAGAAGTAGTTTAACATATATTACGAAAATAAAATGCATCATATCTACAAAAACGACGGAATATCAATAAAAAGACGTCATCCATAGATATATAAAACCAGTCGATAAAAATAAATTCATTCTTTTTTATTTTCCAAAAAATATTCAAATCATCTCCGTTATTTAAAATATTATATCCCAAATTACCTATCCCCTTTATAAAACCAATGTTGTACATGAATATACAAATTCATTCGTAGATTTTTATCTCTATAAATAATAATAATAAAAAAGTATATTACGTAGGATACACCACAACAACACTGTCACGGAGATTCACTTACCACCTATCTGAGCAGAGTATCATCAGGACACATTGATAAGCAGTATAAAGGTAATGGTAACATTAGACAGCTTTTCACACACGATACTAGCAAAATAAAAACATAATTATGAACTTCTAAACAATACTTATACAATAAAAACATCCGTCTATAAATAATAAAAAAAGATCTCACTTAAGCGACGTATCCTAAAATCTACATACAAATACAGATTACTTACGTATCTGTCTATATTTCTGAGATGAGGTATTATGTAAACTATTTACATTGTTCGGACTATCGGCCTCATTATTGTTGCCATATTTATCACAACATTTCGGCCGTTGTACGCTATGGCCTTCTTCAGGTGGTTGGAATGTCGAACTGAACCCTTTATTTTGCTCAATAGGTAGACTAGTCTAGTTCTACGTGCTATGTCTAATGGATGTCAATTATTAGTTATCTCCTGTTAATTCCGTTCTCCAAGTTCTCCACCGCCTTAACACACTCTTTGGGTCATGTCACTGGATCTAACTAACGCCTTTATCGACTGTGCTATATGTCCTTAAGCGAAATAAGGGTTTAGTTCGACATTCCAACCACCTGAAGAAGACCCGAGCCTTCACTATTTACATTATTCACAACACTATTTACATTATTCGGACAATAGTCCGACTAATGTAAATAGTGTACATAATACCTCATCTAAGAAATATAAACAGATTCGCTGTCATATTGTAGGGGCAATTTTACATAATGGTAATGCTAATATTAACCGTTTACCAACAAGTAAACATTTGGCATTCATTGATAGAGCAGTTGAAATTTATAAAATCTTTCTCTGAAAACACTTTTGAGGAAAAAAGGTGTCTTAAATCCAGTAACTGATACCCCCCTTTCCAGTAATGATGGGGGTGTCTTTCCTAATTTCCTATTTGAAATGGTGTGTAATGTTAATCTCTTCATTCTTCTATATTTTGCTCTTCGAGTTACATGTGCTATCCATTTTAGATGTTGCTGCTATTGGTAGTCTTCAAGTAATGTGAGTTCTGTTATTCGACACAGTAATTTGTGATTCTGTAGCCCCAGTCCACAACGTTCAAAGGAGGGTGACGTTTGCCAATACACTTAGGCTTTACAGGAAACAATCTGTTCTTTATTTCTAACGAAATTTTTCGAAGGGATATTTCCCTTATACAATGAGCTTTTAGATATCACAATTTTTACGTTTGTTTGTACTTTATATTGATGTAATTTGTAACTTGCATATTAATTTGTTCCTCTTGCTGATGACCATACATTGAGTTTTCTTAGAATTGATCGTTAATCGTTTTTTTCAACTTTCCTTAAAATATTCACCTTGGGATCTAGCCTGATCACCCCATTCATGTGTCCATCGCCTCCCACACGCAAAAAAACCCAAGAAACAAAACAATTTGCAATATCTTCTTTCAGGATCACCATTAATTTATACGTTGAGTTCCCTATAATCCATAATTCCCTAGGCCCCCGTCCCTATATCAGGTTTGGTTTGGTTCGGTTTGTTTTACGTAATATCAACCTCAATGGGATATTTAATGCCGACAACATTTTTAGGATAGATTCGTATGAATAGAATATGTATTCTTTGGATTAGATTGGTTTGGTTTATTTCGTTTAACGGTATATCAACCTCAATGGGTTATTTAATTCCGATAACATTTTTAGGATAGATTCGTATGAATAGAGTATGTATTCTTTGGTTTAGATTTGTTTGGTTTATTTTGTTTAACGGCATATCAACCTCAATGGGTTATTTACTTCCGACAACATTCTTAGGATACATTTCTATGAATAGAGTATGTATTCTTTGGTTTAGATTGGTTTGGTTTATTTTATTTTACGGCATATCAACGTCAGTGATTTATTTAATGACGACAACATTTTTAGGATACATTCGTGTGAATAGAATATGTATTCTTTGGTTTAGATTGATTTGGTTTATTTTGTTTAACGGCATATCAACGTCAAAGGGTTATTTAATGCCGACAACATTTTTAGGATAGATTCGTATGAATAGAATATGTATTCTTTGGTTTAGATTTGTTTGGTTTATTTTGTTTTATGGCATATCAACCTCAATGGGTTATTTAATGCCAACAACCTTTTTAGGATAGATTCGTATGAATAGAATATGTATTCTTTGGTTTAGATTGATTTGGTTTATTTTGTTTAACGACATATCAACCCGCGTCAGAAATAAAGAACAGATTGTTTCCTAAAGCCAAAGTGTATTGGCAAATTAGAGGTCATACCACGTTCCTCAAAACCTCCTGATCAGAAGTCTTGCTGTTGGACGTAGTTTATCGTCATACCCAGGACGGCCCCTATATTAGGTACATTGAGAAGTGTCATGTCGCCGCCATGTTATGCTACCAGACAGAGAATTGAGAACGTTCGTGAACAGTTGGGCAAAGTTCTACTCGACCTAACTTTAACGGCAGCAGTACAAGGCCGATATTCCAACCTTGGCAGGCTCCAATTACGATATAAAGAGAGGTAAATAGATAGATGCTTAAATTTAGTTCAGTTTTGCTAGGACCTCAATAAAGTAAGCAAACCAGTTAAGTAAGGAAACCAGTAATTTTTTTCTTTGTTTCTTTCTTCCGTAACTACTGGTTGTAATCAGTCAAGTCCGAAGACCAACAATCAGGAGAGAAACAAAAAATAGTCCGAAAGACAACCATTATTTTCGCTAGTCTTTTTGTAAACACTTCTATTGGTCCATTTTCGTCTGTTTTTCTCTTGCTTGCTTGAACCCTTTCTATAACTCAGAGATTTTTTGACATTTTTTTCCGCCATCTTTGTTTATATTTGTGTTCTTTCTGTTTTCCTTTTGTGGGATTTTTTTCGTTCTTTTCCATTACGAATTTGATTGTGTCATTTCCATTTGTAAATTTTTTGTGCTCACTTTTTTCTCTCTCGATTCTCTCTTTTCGAATAAAGGAAAGGTTTGTTCCTTTCTATAAATAATACACCTTTTGCGTTCGTTCTTTCTTTCTTTCTTTCTTTCTTTCTTTCTTTCTTTCTTTCTTTCTTTCTTTCGTTTTTCATTCTTCCAGAAGACAAATCATACGTTCCGTCTTTCATTTTGTGAAAATGAACAGCTGGTTTACTTCATGACATGATCGAGGTTTTTCATTCACTTATTTTATTCTTCCTATTTCTCCTTTGGTGAATGAAAGTTCGTTCTTCTCAAATAATATATTTTCTTTATCTTTTCCTTCTTTATTCTTTCTTTCTTTCTTCTTCCGTTTGTCTACCTTTTGCCTCTGTTCACCTATTGCTTTCTGAGACATAGGCTCAATTTGTTTTCATAAACTTTTTTTTTTCGTTCTTTCTTATTTTTCATATCAAAGCTTTATTTTCTCTTTTCCTTTTTCTTTCATAGCATTTTTCATTCACCATTTTTCTTCTACACTTTATTGCATTTTACTTTTTATCATTCTTGATGATTTTATATAAGCTTTCTTTCTTTCTCGCTTTCTCTCTCTCAATTATCCTCTTTTTCTTCTTTTTCCATCCTTCCTCCACCTTCTTTCTTTCTATTTATCCTTTCTTCCTTCCTATCCTTTCTTCCTTCTTCCTTTTCATCATTTCTCCATTATCTTTCTTTCTTTCCTTTTTTCGTCTTCCTTTTCATTATTTCTTCATTTTCTGTCTTTCTTTCTTTCTTTCTTTCTTTCTTTCTTTCTTTCTTTCTTTCATCTCATCATTCCTCCACTCTATTTCTTTCGTTCTTTCTTTCTTTCTTTTCACTCTTTATTCACTTTCTCTATTTCTTTCTATAGACCCTCTTTTTTTACTTTGTTTTCATAATTCTTGCATTTTTTCTTTCTTTCTTTCTTTCTTTCTTTCTTTTTTTCTTTCTTCATTTCCTCTCTTCCTTTTTCGTTTTAATCATTCCTCCACTTTCTTTCTTTTTTCCTCTCTTTCTTTCATTTCATCAATCCTCCACATTCTTTCTTTCTCTCTTTCTTCCTTCGTTCCTTTCTTTCTTTCTTTCTCAACGTTATATTTCAGTTCGTTTTGTATCGGCAACATTGATATATTTTCACTGTTTTATTTCTTTTCTTCCAATTTCCTTGCATCAATTTAGTTTCTGTAACAATCCTCCAAACCTTCTTCTCTCTGCTACACTTCATTTCATTCCCTTTCTTTCTTTCTTTCTTTCTTTTCACCCTTCCTCTTCTTTGTTTTTTTTCCTATGCTGGTTTGTTTGTTCTTTTCTTATTGTTTACTTCCTTGTCCTACTCTCCACACCCACCTAAGCCAATATCCTCTCTCCGCCACCACCTCATCACTTTAATCGGACCTTCATCCCTAGCCTTCTTCTTCTCCTGTTCTTTCTCCTCTCTTTGTCTTTTCGTCTTCCTTACCTGTCCTAAAAACGACACACGAATCAAACTAACAAAATCAATTATTCTCTTTTTTACTTCTTTCTTTCTCAATTTTTCTATTAGCAGGTAACATTTTTTACCAACCGTAAATTACTTATTTCTTCTACGACATTCAAAAATAATCTTTTCGTTTATTTAAATGTTCTTTCTTTTCTGTTAAATGAATTGTTTATCAGAGATATTGGTTGCCTTGAAACAAAATTGGATCCTAATTAGTATTTTCGTTGATCAATGTTGTTCGTCTGGGGAACCACAAATTGTTTGAGCCACTAAGGGAAAGGCAATATATATGTCTCTCTCTCTCTCTCTCTCTATATATATATATATATATATATATATATATATAATCGAAGGTCTATATTCTTTGTTCTACTAATCAGTAAAGGCCGGTTTCCTAACCAAAAGTAGGTTTCAAACGTTCTGTTTAAAACTGCTGACATTACAAGCAACCATTATTATTTATTTTTTGTAAATAGTTTTAAGACATTTTTTTTAAATCATATTCTAAGGAAATGTTATTCGTTTTTTAGAGTTCTGCTATTAATTTAAGTTCTTTCATTGTTATCTTTTTTCTTCATTTTATTTATACATCTATCGTTTCCCTTTTAAAACTAAGTCCATTTCTAATCGCCATATTTGTTATTCTTTCTGAATTTATTTGTTTTCATTCATTCGTTAATGATTTTGTCTCTGTTTCCTTTATTTCTTTAACCACTTTAAACCCTTTAACCTTTTTTTTTATTGGGTTTCTTTTTCGTATTCTTTCTTTTTTAATTTTTAGCCGGATAGAATTTTTAACGTGTATTTTTTTTTTTAACTTCCATCCCGTGTCATCTTTCCATTAATTTTAATTCTTCACGGTTTTTTTCCCCATCCAAATGATTATGCAACAGTTTTGTAGATAGAACTTTTTGGAATATTTCCTGGGTAAAGAATTTTCTTGAAAAAAAAAATATTCCACCATCTCATAATCAGTGATGTGGATGGAAAAACGGAGAAAAATACTAAGAGAAGAAGAAGAAGAAGAAGAAGAAGAAGAAGACGAGGATGATGAAGAAGAAGAAGAAGAAGAAGAAAACAAGGAGGAGGAGGAGGAGGAAGGGGAATAATAATAATAATAATAATAATAATAATAATAATAATAATAATAATAATAAAATAATAATAATAATAATAGTCCCGTTCAATTTTCTGATTTATTGACCATTTGTCTTTCTCAAATCTCCTTTTGTGTTGTTCTTAAAACCGATTTTCTTATCTTGCTGATGTTTTTACTTT